ATGTTGTTCTTATGTTCCAGTTAAGCTTTTATGCCTTTAGTTAATCTACATGCAATAGTTGTAGAATTATCAATAATTTAAAAGTTGATTCAGTGATACTAAGCCTAACGAAGCTGCCATTTGTTTACATTTGAAGATCTTAAAAAAAAAAAAAAGAATTAAGTCACTTTCTGCACCAACCTGCCCAATGTCTCTTCTTGCCAAGTGGAACCAAAAGTAAATTTTCAATTTTGTACACGGAAAAACCAGTCTTCTTGCCTGTTGGCCGAATTGATTGTTTTGGGGTAGAAACTTTAATTTTAATTGTAAAAATTGTTTTTTAAAACTGTTATTGGTGTTTTATGTTTTTCTGTATTGTAGAATTTTTAAGGAAAATGTTTGAGTTTTTATGTATTTTCGCCTTGCCGTAAAATGAGAACTGAATGAATTGAGTGAAAAATATATCACTAACAAAATTCGAGGAAAAAAGCTTAAATGAAATGCAGCAAAAAAATATGCATAATTTATAGCCGTACAAGGAAGTCATGTGGCGTCCACATCAGACTTTTTTATTTAAATTAGTAAGAGCCTATTTTCTCTTTATTTTCCCTTTTGTTTGTAATAGCTCCAGCTATATTCAGACATTGATTTTATAAAGGCTATTTTGTTTTATTTTATGTGAATTATTTCTTACGTTGGAACTGATTTATGAAATGTAAAAAACTAAGGTTCGTATTTTGCTTTAATCCACTGTATGTATAAAACCCTCTGGAATTTTCAGCTGAAATATTTGCGAGAAAATAACTAATAAAAGAACGTTCTATTTAAAAAGAAATGACACACATTTAATTTTCCATAACTGCTATTTTTAAATTTTTTCAGAGGAAATTACATAAGTAAAGATTTCATCATTTACTGAAGAATTTTGCGATGTTTTAAAGAGGAAGTGAAATTAAATAATTCGAGAAATAAAAGATTATCGACTTTTCAGCCGATGACGGAACTACGCACTTATGCAACGAAACTTTAACTTCCTTGCCCCTATAGGAAACATTCTATGCTTTCATGTTTGAAATGGATGAATTTATGCAGTAATTTTATATTTAATTTTGAAAAAAATTAGCTCTCAATTTTTTTTTTAGTCTAAAGGGGCTTTGTCCCCTGAGGGACTATTGTTTTCGTTTTGCGATTTTGCGTCGAATAACTCTGAATGTCCGTTTCACTTTTCATATTGTTGCCACCAAATATTATCGCCCTGTATTATATTTGAAGAAATTAAATAGTGAAGAATCTGCATAAATGTATGTATGTTTCTTGCATTGTGATAAAACAACGGTACCTTGAGACATCCAGTTTGGAATAACGTAATCTTCAACCGAATATGGGCATCTGGAAGCCCAAATTTGGAATTTGAAATTTATTTTATTATCGATTTCTTATTTTATAAAACTTTAACGAATTTTTTATTAACAAACTCTACGATTTCAAAGCGAGCAATGGCAACGTTGTACAGAAAAAAACATTTTTATCTCCAGCACGTGAGACTGTGTATCGGAAATTCTAAAGATATGCTCAATTTAAAATAATTTTGCGATATTGCTCTTGAACTGAATTTTATGGTAAGTGCGAAGAACATGATATTTAATAAATAATGGTACCACACAAAATGTTAAAAAAACACTCCTTACGTAATTTAAAAGACGTAATTTAAAAGCAGACCTTCAGGACGTAATTAAAAAAAAAGCCTTTCAGATTTTTTTTTTTTTTTTTTTTTTTTTTCCGTTACACAGATTAACATTATTACTAAAAAGTAGTCTTTGGCTGATTAAATTTACCGCTTTTATATATTTGTTCTTTTTAAACGATTTTTTAAAGTTTAATATATGGACTGAGCCTAATTTGCCTTTACAAAATAAGAGGGGTGATAGTACCCATCCACATGAGCAATAATTGCCATGGAACATACAGAGTCGCACTCCAGTCTGAGAAGCAGAAAAGAGTAATCTTAGAATTCTAACATGAACTTACTACAGTGTTGAGAAAGCGAATGAACGATACCAAAAGCTTCATAATCTGGTTGATTTACTGATCAGAGAAGAACTCATAGCAAGTGTTCAGAGTGGCCACCATGGGTGTTGTTGCACAGTTCACATCGGCGAATGAATGACTGGTGCGCTTTCTCGAAGATTTCTGTTGTGTTAATTTTGTCATACAATGATTCTAACTGAGCGCCGCCTGAGATAACCACTGACCTGACTTTGTTGTAAAAGTCTTACAGTGTTAATAGTTATCCTGGCAGAAGGGAAAATTTCCTCCGTGTAAAAATATACATATAAATATTACATGGGCATACAAGGCCTGTGTTGATTACAATCATTAGATATGTTGATTACAATCATTGTCTTGTACAAGTTACATATGATAGATACATAAAATCATGACAGCTATGAGTACATTTAAACATTATATGAATTCATATTTACAATACTTTTACTGAGATAATCAAATTAAACTTGTAATTCATTTACACATTGACTGGATTTTCAATATCATTTAAACTGCTTGACAATATTATTTTTGTCAAGTACATACAAACTGGATAGTAATATGCTTACATTACAATAGTTTTGCTCTTACAGTCCTGTTATTATTCTACGGGGTGAGCTATTTTTCTAGTGTTGATATTCAGTTATTGTAGTATTTTGAATTGCTATTAAAATTATGCTGCGAAGATACAATTCTCAAGGGAGGGGGAAAATTTCTTAGTACTCTGCTGAGCATAGCCTGATCACCTCCTCTATTTTAAGTTTTCGTCTGCTTGTTACCGCAGGTATTCTCCGCCCATTGCGGCCAGTATTCACTGCTTGGCATTTTTAAATGCAGTTTAATCGGTTTGGGGGCTGTTGAAGAGGAAGTGATCTGCATCACCTACCGCACCACATTCACACAATTCTGATGACTCGTATGCCGAAATCTCGTTAAGATAATGTGGGAAGGGACCATGGCCAGTGTAGAATTGAGTTTGTGCTCCGCTGTATGTATTTAACTTGAGCACGTGAACTTTCGGAAAAGAACTTGTAGGTTTCTCCTTCCCATTCTATAGAATGGCATTTTTGCATCAATTATTTTGTATACAGGAATAGTAGATTAAAAAGAAGGTAGTGACGTGTTCATTGTAGAACAAAATGGCAGAAATACAGTGGCAGAAAAGATGGGAACTGTGCTTTTCTGCCATTCTTGTAAAAGGCTATTGAGCGTGGTTTTTTTTTTTTTTTTTTAAATAGGACTGCGGAACACTTACTGCGTTTTCCAATCTACTGGAGTCATTGGCAGCAGATTTCGCAAGCAGGTCCGTCGCTTCGTTGCCGGTAATACCCACATGAGTTGGAACCCAGATCAGAATAGGTTTGTCATCTGGTGGGATACTTAGAAGAATTTTCTAAATATCTTGCACCAAAGGACTCCTTTTCTTGTGCCCTCAGATGGACTCCAAACTTGAGGCAGAGTCGCTATATATGTTGACCTTTAATCCTAATTGATAATTTGCCAAATTGATGGCTGCTTTTAATGCAAGAAGCTCTGCCTGAAAGACGGTATTTTTGTCTGCCAGTCGTCTTTCCCAAGTTTTAACCACTTCTCCTTATTGGAGTACACAGTAGGCGCAGCCTGTGCCTTTCTCCGTCTTTGAGCGATCTGTATAAATAGCAAATGCCTTCTCATTTGGCGGCTGTATTGCATGTATATTGTGTACGATAAATCAGTATCAGCAGGGTGTCCAAGCATGATCGGCTTGCGCTTCTCATAGTCTGTATGGTAGAATGTCTTTTGCCACAGAGAGACGTTATTTTCTAGGCGCAATGTCCTTACTAATAGTGATTCTCTCTCCACTAGAAGGTCCAGTGGAGGGATACCCGCCAGCACTTGCAGTGCCACAGTTGGGGATGTTCTGTAACCTTTGCATATGATCAAAAGTTGCATTCTTTGTATGGTGAGAAGCTGCCTCCTCATATGGGCAGTAAGCTTCCTTCCCCACATGGCAGCCCCATATAATACGATCTTTTCTGAGATTGTTCTGTACCAGCTTTTGAGCATAGTGATTGGAGTGCCCCAATAAGGTCCTAACCATGGAATTACTAAGTTGATTTATTTTCTGCTTAAGCTCTTTAATATGTGGTACCCAGGAAAGCCTATTGTTAAATATAATACCTAGATATTTAAGGTCAGTGAACTTTTTTATAGAGACTCCATTTAGCTTAATGTTGGGAATTCTATTTCGCGCTCCATGCCTAAATATAAACAGTTGTTTAGTTTTATCTGCTGAGATATTTAATTTGTACAGCTTGCAAAAGTATTGATTGCGTTTTGTGCCTTTAACCTAATGTCCGTGCTACCAGAAATGACCAATAAAAAGTCGTCTGCGTACGCCTGGATACCCACTCCTTGCTGTTGGTCATAGAGCGCAAAGGCTGTGTTCCCTACAAGATTCCAAAGTGTAGGTCCCAAGCAGGAACCCTGGGGACAGCCTCTTTCCAACTTGACTTTGAATACATCATTGTCCGTTGTAACCTGTATTCAACGATCCTGCAAGTAGCTGCGTATAATATTCAGGATTTCCTTTGGGCATTTGATGAGGTCTAGGCATTCGTCTACGTCTGGCCACCACAACGAGTCGAATGCCCCTTTGATGTCCAACGAAATAACCAGTGTGTCCAAATTGCTGTCTTTGTTCTGCTCTATGTTATCTAGCAGTTGTTTTAAGGCACTGTCTGTGGACTTTCCTGCGCAGAAGCCATATTGTTTTTTGTTTATAGACTTGTTCCTGCACATGTGGAAATTAAGGCGTTGCAGAATTACATTTTCTAAAATCTTATTGATTGAAGGCAGTAAGCTTATAGGCCTATAAGATGCCGGGTCTGATGGATCTTTGCCCTGCTTGTCAAAGAGTGCAATTTCGGCTAGTTTCATGCTTCTAGGGAAGTGGTCGAGTCGCCAACAGGCTCTGCATAGTTTTGGAAACAAACCTGGGAATTCTTTGTGAATTTCTTTAACAATGATATTATCTATGCCATCGGGACCTGGTGCTTTTTTGTCTGCTAAGGCTTTGATGATATAATGAACTTCGTGATCTGTAGGAAGAGTAATATCTCTGTTGCTGCTTTTCCAGCTTTTCCTATTTAACTTCTGCCTTATTTCTCTGTGAGTTACTAAATCAAATTCCATCTGGTCTTTAACAAAGATTGTTAATGACTCTCACTGCGACATCTTAAGTAGAGTCCATAGGCATCTCGTACACTTAACGATTTCATGTGCTGTCAGAAGAAAAGGTCCAGTGGGTTGATGTCCGGTAGGCGAGGCGGCCAAGCCATAGGTCCGCCACATCCAATCCATCGCGCAGAATATTCTGCCTCTCAGAGTGGAGTGCAAACCTATATTCCATGGTAATTATTGCTCATCTGGATGGATACTATCACTCCTATTATTATATGAAAACAATTTAGACTCACCCTGTATTTATGAAAGTTCGAATAATATATTATATAAGTTCAAATTATATATATATACATGAAAATCTACAGAAACGATGCTTGCCGAAAGAGTGGGAATACAGAGTTAAGTCTATTTAACATCGAGTAAACGGCTACTCCCTAAATTGACGAGAGGTCGCCAAGCTGACAGCGGTTTTGGTGATTAATTTTTGTCACCTAAATTTGGGGAGAAGTCGCCAAAAATAGCCAGACTTGGTCACCATTTGGCGACATTTTGGTCCGGTCTCTGTAAAACTGTAATGGATATTGTAATTGAATAACTATAATTGATGTTCTACATAGCTGTAATATGCCCTCCAGCAATTTCGAGAAGCAGAAAATACTAGAAATATCTCGGGGCAGGGTCTATATAATAATGGAGAGAATATTGCTTTCTGAATTGTTGTTGTTAGTTCAACGTGAGTACAGTACTGAAATATATCCGGATTTAGCTTCGCTGTTTAGATGCTCTTTGCAGTGTGTTGTGCTTCATGTTCTTAGTAGTTTGAAGTTTAACTACTGACTGTACTCTGTAATACTGTGGAGAGTTGTACGACTATTTTTGTGGAAAGTTCCAGAACTCTGAAGTGTGTGGTGTAGTGGCCGAAATCCCGGGTTGTAATACAGGGTTGAAATGAACTTCTAACTCAAGTTATAACAATAACATGAATTTTTATAAAATAAACGCATTAACAAGTACATATCCAGACGATGTGGTACTTGAATACATTCAGTTCCGTAATTTCAGAAATTTGTTAACAGGAAGAACGCTGTATCGTATTACACACGAGGAGTGATAGTTCTAGCGGGCCAATATGCCCATAGCTCCAGCAGGAAAATGAAAGTCCTCGCTGTTCTCAGAAAAAAAACCCTTACATAGCTCACTGTCGTTACCTGCGCTGAACGCCTAGGAGGTGGGATTCCTTCACTCGTTCATAACAAAGGTTTCCGTATTTTTGACCCTGATGAAAATACTTTTTTACCCCTTTGGCCCTTGGAGTGAACTTTGAGGCTGCAACCGGATTCATTAACAAAAGCACCTCATTTCGAAAGGGTTTCACCTATGTACTGAAAAAGGTACTATTGCATTCTGAAATCATTCATCCTATACAAAGAACCTCTATGCGACCTTATCACAAGTATTTCTTTTGATAAAATATTTTTTAAATCTATTATCGGACCTGTGTGCATTCAATCTACTGCAAACAAGTACAGTTCTATGAATTGTTTTCTTAGCATGCAAAAAGTCAGGAAATTCTAATTTCGGATGATTACTTGCAGCAGTAGTAAAGAAAATATGAAAAATAAATCAGAAACGTTGGTTGCTTACCTGGATGTTTCAGCAGAAACTCTTGAACTCCGATGAGCGATGAACTGCAGTCCTTAGCAGTCTTTTTATCTCTATAATGCACTTGAGCACCATACCTTAATGCAACTTCTGCTATTTCAGTGTCATCTGTCGATACCCAGACTGATGTTAACCCTGCAAGAAAAGATGAATTAGTAAACCATACTAAATGTACATAATATTAGGTGTTTACAAAATTCATCAAGTTGTAAATGTTAAGTAGAAGTTATTTAGTTCTGTTTTTCCAGAGATTTCACAAATTTCGGAAATTATATAGATACTAAATTTAATGATTTAAACTATTTTTAATATTAAGTTTTAAAAATAACTCGTAAACTTTTCCTTAATTTTTTAATAAAATTACGTAATTTATAAAATTTTATAAAGAATTATCATTTAAATAATTTGAAAATAAAATGGATAAAAAAGAAAAATTAATAAATAATAAAAAATAAAAAATATTATATAATAAAATAATAATTTGAATAACATAGATAGCTTATAAAATTTATAAATAAAATAATTTTTACTTTTACTTACTTTTTTTCTAAAATAACTTTGTAAGTTTATAACGACTTTATAAGTTTATAAAATACGTTTACGCTTTATAAAATAAATTTTAGGTTTATAAATTATTTTTTTAATAAATTCGTAAATTTTATAAATCAAATTCATCTGTTATAAAACACAGGTTTGTACATTTTAATGCTTGTAACACCCTAACAAATTTTAACTAACAAAAATGCGTTTTATTTGGAATTAAAATTTTTATTTCATTTTCATCATAGATTAAAAAAAAATGAAACCAAACAAAATGTATCTTTACGCTCTTTATATAAGCTTAAAAAGTAAAATTTCTGAAAATTGTGTACAGAGAGCCGAAGTCTTAGAGCACTAGTTTTTAAACCTGTTTTTTTCGGCATGCACTTCTTTCACCAACGCTCTAAGATCATTTGCCTCTCGTTCTCCAAAACTTGTAAAATACATAAATACCATTTATTTGGATTTAGACTATTTTTAAGGTAATTTATAAAATAAACAAAAATGTATATAAAATGTATATAAAATACTATAAATAACGAAAACTTGAATAAAAGTAATTTTTGTATTCATAAATTAAAACTAAATATTAAAACTAAATACCATATATTCCGGTGTTTATACACCGGAATATAACGCGTACTTTTAATACAAAAAAAAAAAAAAAAAAAAAAAGAAATAAGATCGAAATTCACGGATGCGGTATTATATACAGCAGCGTTTCTTAAAACTGTGAGTCGCGACCCCCCTGCAGCAGAGGGTCGCCAAAAATTTTAGCAGTTTTGATATTTCTTTAAGTTATTATAATAATTTTACAATTACCAAATATTTTTACACAATGTATCTGAAAATATATAAAGATAAGACAATACAGACAAAGAAAAAAGGAAAACATTTCGACGCATTATTTTTATAATAGAAACGTTCATTTTACTTGCTTTGCACGTGGCACTGTCATTTCGTCTGTTACTTATTTAAAATTTTCACATTGTTCTATGTCTTAAAATTAGAAATTAAAGTTAATGACTATTCACACACGCGTGTGTCAGATTTGCGCAATGCTTATGGGGTCCGACAAAATTTTCGTAAATAGTATGGGGTCCTGGGGGTCGAGAAAGAAATCTCAGTGATAAAAAGGGATCACGAATGAAAAAAGTTTAAGAAGTCCTGATATAGAGGATATAAAAATGATAGATTAATAAATAAGGAAAAGATGAGTCTGCAAAAATTAGGTGAAAGAAATGACATACCTTATGAATTTAAAATTTTCATTATCGGATAACATAAAAAGTTCGTCATATTCATCTTCCCTTATATCTTCAGGCACATCATCGAATTCAGTTTCATCTTCATCATCATTGCTACTTTGACCCATAAATATATATAATCATCTACCTATCTACCTAGATTGTCAGATATACTTTATTTTTTAAATGCCTTTTGAATCATGTCGAGATTAATTTCATTTTGTGCTTATATTATCCACTCACACACTATTTCTAGACTAGTATGACGCATTCCTTTTGTAAATGTGTTTTCAGCTTCTAACATCTATGTATTCCACTGTCGTTCTAAATTTTCTTTGAAATCTTTATTGACACATCTAAAGGTTGATTTAATGGCGGTAAACAGCGTGGAATAATTGCCTTGCCATCAACAATTTCTTCCAATTAACTGTTAGATGGAACCTGAGCATGACCCTAACTATAAGACTTTCTGGATTCTTTAAGGCAACAGGACGCTTTGGCCAAACATTTCTTATCCCCGTCGAAACGAAAACGATGTGAAAGGGTGTTTCACATCGTTTTCGTCCATCCATCTTTTCTCGTGAACATGAATGAAAATTACGTTCGAGATCTTACATTTCGGCATTGTTTTTCTTTTAAAAATAGTCATGGGTTTCAATTTGTACCATCCATTAAGCAAGAAAACACTACTGTGAGGTGCGATTTTTTATGATCTGGTGGTTGTCATGTGAACATGTTTTTGTTCCTTTCACATCAATTGTTTTATTTTCTATTATATGAAGCATTACTTGTGTTTCATAAATATTTCCAATATGTGATAGTAAATAATTTTTTTGCCTTCATAGGTCAATAATATATACTTTTGGAAACTTATCAATTTGTTGTCCTACTCCCTCGAAAGCCTTTGCCAAACTTTTGTTTTTTCTGGAAGAACCAAATTATTCCGTGCCATAAATCGACTACACCAACTCAAAGGTACTTCAACAACTTCACTTTCACTTGCATTCTTTTTGTACACTTTAAGGCAAGTAAACGAAAGCTCTTTCTTGTTAAAATTATTCTATTCTGGCGATTTTCTAGGATATGCCTAGATATTAATTTTGTAAAATTTGGTGCGAAATTTACAGAGAAATTCAAAAAAATTGTCTTGGCGAAATATTTTCAGTTTGGCCAAGAATAATTCACTTAGCTACTTTTTAATATATGGCAACCAATTTTCTTTTCCCTTCCATTATCCCGGAGCGGAAAAAAAGGCACCTTCGTTTTTACATTGTGTATGAGCAGGAAAAAAGTCACTTCGTTTCCACTTCCAAATAATTTTAGCAAAATGTTTAAACCACATCTGATGTTTTATTGCTTTCAAGAAATATGTCGAATTTCAAGCGCGCCAATGTATAAATTCATGTATATCTTCGGAAATTTTGAACAAAAAATTGTAATTTTTTGCAGGTATGCTTAGAAATACGTCTTCTTTAAGATGATGATACAAATTTTATAGCTTATAATTCAATTTTGTTTTTGAAAAATTTATAAAAATGAGTTAAAAATACAAATTTTTAAAATAAATCATAAAAAATGGGTGAATTTTATTTGGAATGAACCTGAATTTTGAAATGGGAAAGGAAGAATCAAATAAGATTAATTAAAAAAAGAGAGATTAATCAATATATATCAAACTCAATTAACATTGAGGAGCTAAAATTTTGAGAGCTAATTTTTTAAAAATTCTTTGTGCGATTTTTATAAAACTTGGTAGTTTGGCGTAATTTGAGTCGTAGAATTGAAATATTGAAATATGGAAAAAATTGGTATGTTATTTCAGAGGAAGTCCGCTTTTTTGTCAAACTGCCGATATTAGAACAATGCTATATATAAATCTAATACATATCCTAAGTCGCGCTTTCGAGACATGAAGGCCCACCAGCGGCCGAGCGGTAAAGTCGCTGAACACTGGTAGTTCGAATCCCGCGAACGGGCTGGCTGCGTGGGTGTTTTTGTGGTTTTCGCCATGTAACGTGTATACGAGTCAGTTTCCCTTAGAAAGTCCTCCACGAAGGCATCCCTACCTTTAGGCAGATAGCCCTAGTGTGCTTTACCGTAATTAAATACACACCAATCGAGACATGAAAAACGCAAGTTGAATTTCATTAATCGGCTCAGTAGAACCGGAGATACAGAACTTCCCCCCCTTTTTTTTTTGTTTTTGCGTAGTGTACCTAACAAATGAAAATTATACTTTGAAATTAAACGTGCGGGTTATACGCCGAATACTTAACAGCTTAAGAAAAGGTTTCCCTCCCTTCCCCCCCCCGAAACTATGTAATTCCTCTCCTGGTCAAGAACTTCTGGTCTAGAGAGAGCTCTAATAGCTGTAATAAGTAATTTTAAAGGTCTTTTCCAGATTGAAAAATTAATGCTAATGAGAAACTGTGCTCAGAAAAACCAAAATACTTCGAGAGTAATGCATTAATTACAAAGATTTTGTCGGGCAGTAAGTAATCAAAGAATAAGATTTAACTTTGGAGAACTTGGAATATAAAGCTTTCATAATGTTCATGAAAATCATTTAAAAACACAAGCAACATTTTAGAAACACCTCATAATAATAACAACAACAACAAAAAATAGAACGCGTTTTATCGACGTAGTTCTTCCCTGAGCCATCCGTTGGCATTCCGGTAGACCTAGACCCAGTTCTAAATCTGACTTTTTCCGTTTTGGTTCTTTTATTACCGCCATTATCACCATTATTCACCATTATTATAATACAGCACTTCCTCACTGTAACGCTCTCGTTATGCATGAATTAGACATGCAGAGTTAAACTGGCTTTCGCATTATATTGATATAAGGCAGTTCGCATTATATTGAAAATTTGAAATCTTACACAGAATGAAGGTACTATTGGCATAGTCGTGTATAGTTTTTTTACACTTTAATGAATAAATGATGTAAGAAAAACCCTCATTACGATAGATTTTATGCACAAAAAGTAAATATATTCCACCGAGTCAGTTTTAAACATAATACATTCGTAATTGAAAATTACAGTATGAGTAATTTTTTTCACATATTTTATCACCATAAGCAGCGGACTGAGGCCAAAGCAAAATTTATAAGTTCTGTGTACATCTGAAAAGAAAATGCATAACATTTCAGAATGAAAGAAATTAGTTCTTTCTTTCCAAGCAGCAACCAATTCCTAAGTAATTTTTTTTTTGTTGTTGCCAAACCAGCAAACAAAAACTTTTGACACCTAAGGTTAATAAGTTTACGTATAACATCATGATTTAAATTTAGTGAAATATAACAAACGTTTCCTCAAGATCAATAAAAGAATCAACTTGG